GTAAAAGTGAATTTCAGTTTGCCAGGACCCAACAGAAGAGCAGAGAGCAGCTCCCAGCTGCAGAGCTGTGCCTGCCCCCAGGAGAAGCTGCTTGGTTGTGTTATGGTTGGCACAGTGGTTTCCTCTCCCATCTGTCATCAATTACATCAGATTTTCTTTGGCACATCCTTCCCCCTAAATCAATTTGTATGCTTGGAATACACACTCCAGTCAGTTCTTTTAACTTCTTCATGGAGTTGTGCTCCCTGTCCTGGAGAGATGCAGAGGTGGAATTACAGAATTTCTGAGGAGGAGCTGTGCTTTTCACCAGCACTGCTCAAATAGGCCGGATGTAAGGAAAAACTTTTTCCAGAAGGGGTGGTGAAGTTCTGGAATGTTCTGTCTGGGGATGTGGTGCAGTCCCCATCCCTGGGTGTGTTTAACAAAGCCTGGATGTGGCACGGGGTGCCAGGGTTTAGCTGAGGGGTTGGGGCTGGGGTGGACTCGATTTTAAAGGTCTCTTCCAACCTGGTCATTCTGTGAATTCTGGAAATTCTGGGACTGGGGAGGTGGTGGAGTTCACCATCCCTTAACAAAGCCTGGATGTGGCACTGGGTGCCAGGGTTTGGCTGAGGGGTTGGGGCTGGGTTGGATTCCATGATCCTGAGTGTCTCTCCCAGCCCAGTGATTCTGTGAATTCTGGGAATTCTGTGAATTCAGTGGTTCTTCTACTGCTGCTCTCCAGCTCTGGTTTATGCTCAGCTAAAGGTGTTTTCTGTTCAGCTGATGGCAATATGTTGGAGATTTTTTTTTTTTAAATGGCTTAGAAGGCAGCTGTGAGGAGCAAGTTCTCCCAGCCTGTTTCTGTAAACAGCAGAAGTTCTCAGGTTGTTTTTAATTACAAGTAAAAGTGACAAACATGAAGGCCTTGAGAACCTCGCATACCAGGGTTCTCAGGCAGCTTTCTCATCACAGGTAAATATTCTATCTTTGGCTGTTTTGGGAAAGTAAAAGTAAGTTTGAGAACACAAATCTTGATATTGGAAACATCAGGAGGGGTTGGTGTGTTATCTCTGACCTATTGTGAGCTCAGGTTTGCAATATGCATGAACTTCATTAACACCATTATAAAAAGGGACTGATTGAGTCAATAAACGGAGTCAATGCTGATCAAGGAAGATTTTTCCCTCCCTTCCCTTCAACAGCAATACCCAGAGATAAAAGCAGAGTTTCCTCACTCCAGTCTCATGCCTGGTTTAATTATGAGGAACCATCTCCTGATCAGAGTCAAAACATCCATGACAAGCTAGATTTCAGGAGTTTCTCTTTGAGGTTTTAAGGGCAGCAGCAATCTCTGATAAAGGCAAAAAGTGTATTTATAATTTATCCTGAGGGATGAGGGTAACTGTGCTGTCAGAGGTGTTTGGATGCCCAGCTGCTCAGGGCCCTGCATCTCCATTTTCACTGACTAACCTGATCATAAAGGTATTTGCCTTTGTGAGTGTTTTCTCTGCTATTTAGAACAAAAATTTGGGGTTTATTCCATTTCCAAGTGACCACAACAGCACAGACTTCTCAGTCCTCTCTAAATTTGTTTAATATTCCCTTTAGTGGGTGTTTCTTCCAACACATGGATTCCCAACTTCATTATTTCTCTCAAGAGGTGCTTCTATCTCATTTTTACAACAAAAACAGCACCCCAAACCCCTTAACTCAGCACAAATAAGATTAATCATGCACAAAGAGAGTTATTCCCACCCAAAATGCACGCTGAGGAGTGGTTGGAGCTGCCTTTTGGCAGCATTGCTGGGCCTGTGTAAGATCCTGCTCTGTGTTGTCCCTGCTGGGTAAACATTTACATCTCCCATGGCCCTTCCTTGGCAGCCCCAGCAGAGGTGAAGAATTGTGTAAACCTTTAAAGCTGCCTTAAAAGTTCAGGAAAATCTGGAAGATGAGCACTCCATGTGCTGTGGAGTTGTTCTAGAAAGGGGCTCAGCTCTGCTTTTGCCAGTGTTTTTTAATTTTTTTCCTTTTACAATTAAACATCTTATCCTCTACAGCTTGGATATTTTAAAATTTACCAAGCCCAAGCACACTTAGTTGCAGAGTGACTTTTACACAAAAAAAACCCCATTATTTTTGTGTACTGGAACTGTCCAAATATAATGGGACTCTTTCCAAAGCAGACAGGAAAGTGGGTGAAAAAAAAAAAAAAGCTTTAATCTTCTATAAAAACGAATTCTAGGTTACACTTCTGTTCTGAAGTTCTCCCTGTGTGTTTAAAGGGGGTTTAAACACATTTCTGAAGTTCTCCCTGTGTGTTTAAAGGGGTTTTCTCAGGCAACTGGATGTGAAACTTGTTTTCTGAACTCTTTTTGAGAATAATATCCATTCAGTTTGGCTATAAGAATGTGTTTTGGTTTTTAATAGAACAGCTTGAATACTGCCAACACTGAACAACAAACTGACACAGGCTTCAGATCCCCCTCTGCTGGAATTCCATTTGGGCTTGCAAAATAATTCCCTTAGAAATTATAAACCCCATTTCTCCTCAATTTACTGAATTCTTGCTGAGACTGGAAGTAATTCCAATATCCTGCTTCTGTCTCTGTGATGCCACAGTGAGTGATGTGTTCTACACTTGCAAATTGGTCAGAAAAGAATTTGGAGTCTGAAGCCCCTTTAATTTCTTTGGCTGCAGATGGAGTCATTGTTTTTAGGATTTCTGGATTGTTGTTGGTGCCTGGGTTTTGATTCAAAAGGGACCATTTCTGTTTTTGGAGCTACTTTAAACCAGTTTTTGTGCAGTCTCCTCCTGACAAAACCAGCCCTTAGGTGATGTCAGTTCTGAACCAAAATTTGTGTTCAGCCTCACCTTGGGCCTGCCCCTGCTTGGCTTTGCCTGGATAAATGGTGCTGTGTAAATGCTGATATTTTCATGTGAATATAATATAAAATACCCTCAAAACATTTGCTTTGAGTGTCATTGTTCTTCTTAATATTGCTGATCTGGCCATGTGCTGTTAGGTGTTTGTTAGGGGTAAATGCTGTTCCTGCAAAGATGAAGGTTTTAGATCAGACACAAATTGAGATTTGCAATATAAAGATTAGACTGAGTCAGAATTGCAGGAGAAGGAAAGGAGGAGGATTCTGGTTTGTCCTTTTCTGAATCAGTCACAAAGTGCTGTCACCATCAGGATTAATTTAAGAATTCCCAGCAAAGCAGAAGGCTCCTGTCTGTTCCTTCCACCTCACACAAAATCCTGGTTTTTCTGGTGACCCTTGCTGAGGTTATCCTGGAACATTTTTGCTGTGACAATGTTGTTTTGTAACTTCCATTCCTGTTCTCTGGGACACAACCTGCATTTAAATAGTTGGATAAAAGCACAAAATGAGAAATCCTCTCCTTGATTTATAAATATTTATGGTAGAGCAAGGCTCCAGTAGCCACACACTGAATTTCTGCCCAGGGTGACTTTTCATCTTGCTCCCATGTGGGAATGCCAGTGGCTGAATACAGATGAGAGCTGTTCCTGATTTATCTGAACCATGGAATATCACAGTGCCACAGTGAGGGGGTGCAGCAATTCCTGCTCTCAGTGAAGCCTTGGATGCCAGGCATGGATTGGGAAGGGAATCCAACCCTGAACCAGGGCAGGAAATTCAGAGCTGGCTCAGCCCCTGAGGAATATTGACCAGCTGGGCTTTGGGATCTGCTCATGGGAGAGCAGAGAAAGTGGTGACAAACATGCCCTGAGTCCTGGAGCTCCTTCCTGGGACACAAACCAGGGAGGGCAGCTCAGGGGGAGGCTTTGGAGCAGCCCCATTCCCATTT